GAGGAGAAGGAGGAGGAGGAGGAGGAGGCAGTGAAGCGAGGCAATTTGCAAAGTGGAACTAATCCCGGCTCTTTCTTCTGTGTTCGACATGCAGGCCGCCGGTCCTCAGTACCACACACTCTGCTGTTAGAGGAAAATCCTCCTTTTTACCGTCCGCCTGCAGATACACAGAAGATCGATATTAAATCAGACACCACAGATACAGCTGATGATGGAGAATCATCAGGCTGCTCTATTGTTTTGATACACTATAAAAAAAACTGTAAAAAATCAGAAAATCTGGCAGCAAGACATGGTGCAATAAATACGTTAAAGAATGTTCCATAGATACAGTATGTAGATGCTGTTTAACACTTAGAGCTCCTCCTGTCCAAGATCGTTACTGGAAATTAATGAGACTTGGTTTTTAATTTTTATTGTATGGGTTCATATAGATATATATACATTATAGGCCTTGCTATTGTTATTTTCACTTCTGATCACTAAACCGTAATGTTTTGCAGTGAATCTTGGCTAATAGACATAAAGTTGCAGAATCTACTGTAAATACATTAGAATTTGTAACAAAAACTGCTAAAAATCTATGATTTATTATAATAAAACCCCTTTAGTTACCATAAAATATCTGTAAAACCCAAGAAACGACAATTATTGGTGGACATTATTTACATAAACTGTAAAAACGACAAAGAAGACTTTAGTTTTTTAATGGTTAACATTTCAATAAATGTGTTTTTGAGTGATCTTAGTGTAAAGAAACAAGAAACGTGACAGGACAGTGTTCAGAAATTACAGTTGAAATGTTTAAAACACTTAAATTTTAGACAGTGATGTTTTGAAGGTTAGTTTGACACCTGGTCGGGTCACCAGGTGAGCATTAGCTGCTTGACTAATGCTGTGGATGCGGTTGTCCCTGGCAACATAAACAAACATGTTGTGTTGTTGTTGTGTCACTGTGTGTGCTGCTGGTCGCTCTGTGTTGATTTGTGTGTTTTTTGTTGTTCTATCTAATTTAAGTCGCCTCTTCACAGGTGAAAAATGTCGTACAGGTCCAACATCCCACAATTCTGACACGCAACAAAAAATAACACAAACACTGAGGCTCAACAGCACTACACTCTCACACAGACACACAAAGACACACACACAGGTGGTTGGGCATGCCTGTACACTGAGTGAGATCATTTCTATTAGTGTGTGTGTGTGTGTGTGTGTGTGTGTAAGTGTGTGTGTGTGTGTGTTTGTGCGTTTGTGCGGTTACAACAGAAAGACAGAGGGCAGAGAAAGCCATCCATTCAATGATTACTGTAAATACATTGGCTGTAGGGCACACACACACACACACACACACACACACACACACACCCTGACACACACTCGGTCAGTGTGTATTGTCAGAGTGATAAATCACAGCAGACTTTAAGTGAATTAGTGCAGCAGCTTTAACTCTCTCTCCTCTCCTGTACGTTTAAACGTCTCTCTATCGGCTCTGCGCTGTAAGAAATGAACGTTTCCAAACTGATTTTCATGTTTTGTCCAATTACAAATAATGAGTAAAAAGACGATTGAATCAAATGTTGTGCTTAAAAAAAAAACAAGACGAAACTGTAGATAATGTTCACATTAAAAATCTGTGATTTGCTCTTTTAAAACGTGCAACTGTAAAATTAAACTGATTCACTGCATTTGAATCAGTGGAAAATCTTATTTTACAGTTTCTGAATGTTTCGGTGTTAACACGTTATTTCAGGCTCTCTCTAATGTCTCCTCACAGCCCGTTACATCACGGCCTTAACGAGACCTCGTCTGCTAACGAGCAGTCACGTATTAGACCAATTAGGAGCTTAATTACAGGAGAGAAGCAGATGAGAGGAGAGGAAAGGAGAAGAGGGGACAATAAAGGAGACAAGGAAAGAAAGGAGAGAAGAGGAGAGGTGGAAAGAGAGGAGGGAAAGGAGGTGAAGACAAGACAAAGGAGGAGAGGAGATGAGGAAAGGAAACGAGGAAGGAGAGGAGGAGGAGCAACATACACGATATTCACTGACCACCTCGCACGTGTTTTGATTGACAACTGGTGTGGGCGGTGCTTTGAGTTGTGATTGGTCCATCTGCTCTGTCCATCATCATGTATTTGCATGTGAAGCCCCGCCCCCTTTCACGACCTATTCCTGTTCTTCTTCTTATTGTTTTAATGNATTTTATTGACATTTTTATGTATTTCAAAAATGCAGCAAACATCAGTAATATAACATGTTAGACATGCACATGTGCAGTATTTCTTTCTTTCAGTAATATTAATACAGGACAGTGAGAACCATTTAGTTAATTATAGATATCTTATTTAATATTGTAAGTTTGTTTTCATTCAATGTCTTTTTGTATTTTCCTAAAAAATAATTTTTAATAGATTTTTAAAATATTTACAGTAAATCTAGATTTTTATATGCACATAAACAATAATAAAACTACGAGAATAAAACGTGTCTTTACACACATTTATGATATTAATAGTGTTGAGCTGCTGCCTCCATCTTTGTTTCTCTCAGTGTTTCCATGCTTCGGTCTTTTTGTTTCTGCTCTTCTTCTACCTGTCTGTCTAGCTGTCTGTCTGTCTGGCTAGCTGTCTGTCTCTCTCTCTACCCGTCCTTCACCTGTCTGTCTGTCTAGCTGTCTGTCTCTCTCTCTACCTGTCCTTCACCTGTCTGTCTGTCTGTCTCTCACCTGTCTACCTGTCTCTCTGTATATTCTATATATTCATGCTTCTTCTCCTTCTTCTCCTTCTTCCTTTCCGTTTCCTCCTCTTGCGTTGGATAGCTGGATATAAGCTGCGCGGCTCTCTAGCTAGCTCGTTCATCTCCCGACAAGGTAAAGACGCCAACACGCCTTTTTATTCGCTGTTTACCTGTCTGTGAAGCCGCCACCTCCTCCTCCACCTATCCTCTTCACCTCCTTCACCTCCTTCACCTCCTCCTCACCTCACCTCCACATGGTGATGGACAGATACGTGCTGGTCTTTGGTTTGTCGTTCGGTGTTGTGACGTGTTTGGTTTCTCCTCCTGCTGAGCTCCTCGACCTCGTCTGTTTCCTCTTCACCTCCTNCCCCCCTCCAGCCTCCACTTCTCCTCCTCCCCCATCCTGCAGCAGCCCGGCTCCTACTTCTCCCACCCGGCCATCAGGTACCACCCCCAGGAGACGCTCAAGGAGTTCGTCCAGCTGGTCTGTCCTGACTCCGCCCAGCAGGCCGGACAGGTGGGCTTCCTCAACGTAAGCACACACTCACTGCACACTAATACACTAATATACACACTCACTGCACACTAATACACTAATATACACACTCACTGCACACTAATACACTAATATACACACTCACTGTACACTAATATACACACTCACTGTACACTAATATACACACTCACTGTACACTAATATACACACTCACTGTACACTAATATACACACTCACTACACACTAATACACTAATATACACTCAGTACACACTAATATATACACACACTACACACTAATATTTACACTCACTGCACACAAATACACTAATATATATACACTCACTACACACTAATACACTAATATACACACTAACTGTACACTAATATACACACTCACTACACACTAATACACTAATATACCCACTGTACACTAATACACTAATATATACACTCACTACATACTAATATCTACACACACTACACATTAATACACTAACACACGCTCACTGCAGAGTAATACACTAATATATACCCACACACTGCACACTAATACACTAATATACACACTCACTACACACTAATACACTAATATAAACACACACTATACACTAATATACACACACTGCGCACTAATACACTAAAATATATACACACACACACTAATACACTAATATATACAAACACAGACTAATATACAAGCACACGAATAGACAGAAATATACAAATATATATATATATATATATATACACTCACACTAGTACATAGATAAACATACGCGTAAATAAACGTACAGATACGAGGACACACACACAAATTCACAAAAATTTACACAAACAAACACACAGACACAAAAAAATACACGTACACTCGTACAGATAAATAGACACATACATATGCGCACACACACACAGATCTGGGGTTTCCAGATTCTGCAGGTGGATCAGTATCTGTTTGCAGGATAGCAGTGTGTCTGTATGTGTGTGTGTGTGTGTGTGTGTGTGTGTGGCCTGTCTGCAGTGAGATAGTTGATATATCTGCGTCTAGACACTGAATCAATACACCCTCCACTACCCCAACCACACACACAAACACTGCATCTGCTGTCTTTTAATTCCGCTGTATCGGCTCAACGATAGGACCACCTGGTTATTAGACCACGCCCCCTCACACTGCTGTACCTGGGCGTTCACACCTGGTGACAGTTCACCTGCTGCAGGAACATAAAGATGACATGTGTCCTGTTTGGACCGACAGCGTGTCGTCCAGCAGCAGGTCATGTGACACGCATGGATGCTGATGTGTGCAGATGTGCACAGCTGGGTCTTCACTACGATGCAGATGTTATCGGTTCAGCCCTGAGCAGGATGACAGATCAGTACATAACACATAGACACATGACGCTGCAGCCGACGTCCTTGTTTATGTTTCAGAATGCTTTCTCGTTGGACGGCAACACAGATTCTTTGATCAAGAAGTTCAGAGAAAAATAAAGAACCTTAAATTTTCCTTAAATCTCCGTCAGAGTCTTTGTGCAGTGATGCTCTGCTCCCTCTCTGTGCTCCTGCAACACAGAAAAAATTACACAGTAGTTTTTAGGATCCAAAGGGACCTGCCCAGGAGTAGGAACTTTTTCCACCTAAAAGAGGTTCAAAGGGACGGTTTTTGTGGTTGGAACAACAAGTTCAGGTCACAGTAAAACTACCTGAAAGTTCAGCTAAAAGCTTTTTATGCAGTTCAGTTGCATAGAAACATAACTTGTTGGTTGTTGCCACTTAATGAACATTTTGGTTGAGCTTCTAAAAAAAAGTGGATGCGTGTACATCTCTTTCTTTAATTTCTTTGTCAGTCACAAAGAAACCGAGAGCAGCAACAGCAAGATTCAAAATGACCAGAAAGAAAAACAACAAAATTGATTTAAAAAAAAAAAAAAAAAAGCACATCTGGAAGTAAAACTAAAACAAAGAGAGACTGAAGGACTGAATCTGCAGATGCAAAAAAATATATATATAAAAATATCAGCACTGCCACAAAGAGTTACAAAGTGTCTAAAAACAGACACAAAAGTAGGTAGGTAGGGAGGGAGGGAGGGAGGGAGGGAGGTACCTTCTCATGTAGGTAGGTTGGGACATTGTAAGGTAGGTAGGTAGGTAGGTAGGTAGGTACATTTTACGGTAGGTAGGTAGGTAGGTCGGTACATTGTCAGGTGGGTAGTTAGGTGGGTAGGTAGGT